TTTTCGACCTGGGAATTGAGTTCACTGAATACAAGTGTCAGAGTGTGGGTGTGGGTGGGTGGGTGAGTGGGTGGGTGTGGGTGGGTGGTGGGTGCGTGGGTGTGTGTGTGTGTGTTAGCTGTGCTCTTTTGCTGGGCTGCTTGAGTCAAGTAACTAAGATCTGTTTTATAACTATTGTATATACGACATCAGCTAAGTCATCCCAGCAGCACAGCCATTGGCAGCTGCAAAGACTGCAGACCGATGGGCGTCCATTCTCCAAGCCAAAGTTGCACCGACACGACGGCCATGCACAGTTGCCGCCACACGGCTGAAAGGCCATGGGGTGGCAAATGTATCACGAAAATGTCTTGGATCGCACGTTGAAAAGCTTCTCGTTCCTCCTGCGCCGCGCATTTGTGAGAAGAACATACAGCTTCTCGTCGCACTTTTGCATGCGGGAGATGAAAACAGCTTATCGTTCCTGAAAAACTAAGTGACTTGCATATTGCATACAGTTACAGGCAATGGCGATCATAATGGATGTGGGGGTCGAGGTTGAACGGCATTTTTTCTTGATGAACGGACAAGAAAAGGATCCGATCCGACATAAAAGCTGAAAGGATGGCTCATTACAATAGGACAACTAACTGCTTTAATAACGTCAACTGTCAAACCTATATTAAATTTGCATATATTTGTTGGGTTGTCCTCATGCATTAGCAGCACAAATGTCTATTGCACCCGGTCTTTTGCCGGGTCCTTTCCATGGATGGCGTGAAAGCCGCGTGCGAGCCGTGCGATCTTCTGGGCTGAAAGCACCTGCAGCGTTTCGCTTCCACCGGCCGAGGAGAGAAATGCCACGCATGGGCGCCACACAGTGGGTCCACTCTCCAGGGCTGAGACCACTGGCAGGGAAGCCATGCCATGGTGATACGAACCATGCGAACCGGTGAAGAAAAGGGTCACTCAGGTGTTGCTGGGGTGAGGGTGGGCTTCGAACTGTGTGTGTGAGGTGTCGGTGGCTCGAAGGGTCTTGAAGACTGGACTTCGAACCGCTTCAAACTTTAGGAAAATATATCAGAATGTCAGAATATCCGTTTGATCGATTCATATCGATTCCGCAACTTGCTTGGCGCCAGAGTTTCTGTCTACAATCATGATTTGATAGGATTTTATGGCAACCAACTGGTGCCCCGTCTTTTCTGGTTCCACCGCTGCGCCAAAGGAGAAGATTTGGGCTCCTGGAAGACCATCAGAGGGACCTGAACAAAATTAAGGGTGCTTTTTGTAGAGTGAAGCTATGAGTCGATGAGCCTGTCTGGGCTGTCTTTTGTGAGGAACCTCCATCACATCAAATGGAGCCTTGTGAGGCGCAAAGCCGCTGTGAGCCGTGAGTCGCTGTGAGCCGTGTGGGTTGTCAGAAAAAACGGCTTAAGGGCCCTGCCCTTCTTGGCAGGCTACGCATACATCGGCCCCAAGAAGCTAAGCACAGAACCTGCTGCATTCCAGAAACCCGGGTCTGAACGCTCTGACATTCGTTGATCTCCGGCGGAAAGCCTTTACTGCACCATCCAAAGAATGGTCACGTCAACTGATAGGTTGATAAAACCAAAAAGAACAACTATATGAGCCGGCATATAAGTTCCAGATTTGAGCTAACTTGATCATATGGATCCCTGAAGGAGTCAGGACTGGAGAACCTCAAGGCGTGCCACCAGTAGAAACAACTCAACTCTTCGTTCCTGCTATCAGCTGGTGAGTTTCTGATGTTGCGAATCCAACCTTGATACCAACCTCCTCCCCCATGTCTCTATGTCCATGTCCATGTCAATGTCTCTATCATGTTCGCCCAAACGGCACCCCAACGGTGCGTAGAAAAAGAAGTGCCTTGCCTCACCAAACTGCCAACAGTTCCACTTCAATGGAGGGTTCAAATGAACCTGAAACTTGAGTCACAACACAGCAGAACGCCCTCACTTCGCATTGCGACTCAAACGTGCCAACGGCGGCCAACGGTCTCCGAGTTCGAACCAATTCGGTACCAATCCTCTGCTAAAATACCCGATCTCAATCCGCTGAATCTCCGATGAGGGGATTGAGAATCTTCTTGGCTAGTTCCAGGACCCCTTCAGATTAAATCTTTAAGAGGTCCACGGTTCACCTTGAAAGTGTCAAAATTCATTAAATGACAGCGTTGGAGATGGTGTACATTGGCGTACATTGGTGTACATGACCTCTCCTATTCAACTGGCCATGTTGGGCGCCCAAAATGGTGTCCGGTGTCCACATGTGTCCACCCTCTGCCTCTTGTGCACAACATCCACCGCCTCCCACTCTCCCACCGCTCTCTTCGGATGGTCTGGGGCTTTCCAACTGTGCCTCCAAGAGTTGGTCCCAAACCTCGAGGGCGACCGCGGGGGGCAAGAACGACAGCGGGCGAACAACTGCAGGTGAACGACTGGGGGGGTGAACAAATAAGAGAGCTGTTTTGGATGATCCTACTGATGATCCTCTCCTTTTTGAAAGAGGTGGGAGAAGAATCAAGTCTGAACACGCTGAGTCCGCCTGAGAATAAGCAGGTGTGGATGTACTGTATTCAATTGTGATGAGGAAGGCTGAAGAAACAGGAGGGGAATCAAAACTCATTCACAACCGAAGAATCACCGGAGAGACACCGAATCACCTGCCCCACGCAGTGAGACGACGTCCGCACGCACTGCTCTGCTTCTTCGACCACTGGGCACGCTCTGCTTCGGAGAGGCTGCGAACCAATGGCCAGCCAGTGGAGTCCTCGGTTGCCGTGGCAACGCGACAGAGTCCGGCTACGACTCCAACGGTTCTCCCTCGCTTGGTCTCGTTTGAACGGCTTGTTGGTTGGACCTCTTGGTGCGCGTGCACTGCTACGTCGTCCGCTGGCCGGTAGAAACACCATCTGCAAATGGCCTTATTCAGGAGGTTCATACGCCATTTAGCTCATGCCGCATGTCCATTTATAGATGCAACCATCGAAGAATGGCCCCAATTCCACGGCGGACCCACAAATCTGCTGCTGAAACCGGGAATCTCTTTGCACCACCACTGGTGGACGAACTGTGACCAGAAGCAATCGAAGCACGAGAATGCCAGCGGAATAGTAAGAGCCGAAATAGGCCAGAAGCACTCCTTGAAAATGCGCAATCGTGGCGAAGTGGTAGTTAAGGATTGGACCAAAATAACGTCCACGTACAACGCCATGCACGATCTTTCCTGCTAATTACAAAGGGGCCTCCATCAACCACCATGAAATAGAATGACCAGCTGTGCACGATCAAAGACTTGGTTTCACACCGAGATTCTAATTAAAGACATTGAGTTGGCAACAATGTGAGAAACCAGCGTGCATTATAGATTTAGATACATTCCAATGCCAGCTGTTGATTTGTCAGTCTGCTTGAACTCTTCATGATTTCATGCAGCTGCTGCACAGCCCAAACCTGTCCACTGGCCGAGAGTCCCACGTGCGTCAGGCCTGCTTCTCCCAGAAAGCCTCTCAACGAAAACAGGCCAATCGTGATGAGGTTTGGCAGCATGAAAGGCAGCGAGAACAGGGCGCAACGGCCTCAGCTCGCGTGTGGAAAAACGGTCCGGGACGGACCCATTGCAACAGAAATGTCTGACAACGAAAAAGGGGGCGATGATGGCAATTCCTTTCATTCTGTTTTAATCAAAGCCCCTAGCAACAATAGAATTGATATGTGATTGCTGTGTTTCCGACAACTCCATCAAGCCACTCGTACTACAGTCGCCCCAAGAAACAATGGACCAAAATCTACAGCTCCCTGCATCTTGGTGCCTGTCCAGCATTCAATAGCCAACATCGCAAAAAGCCAATCACCTTCAATCACACGATTAACAACAAAAGTATATCCAAGCCAGAATCGCCTGAACACCTGATGACCAAGCCACCTTGCGCTACAAAACAGCTTCTAAACATATAGTGTCCCCTAATTGAACACTACTTTCAAACTTCCAATAATTGGATTCAATATTCAAAAGGTGATTATGATTGTTGTATCTGTTTTGGGGTCGCTCTAGAAAGCTGTTTGAAGGCATTATAGAAGCTGATGGTCAGTGACATGAGGGTCTGACAGCCAGGATTCCGTGGGTGGAAATCCCTCGTCCTAGGGGTTTTATGACAACACCCAAAACCATCTCATCCCCTAAAGGACATCAAACAACAGTTGCCTCTATTAACTGCCAGGACCCTCCCTGAAGTCTTTCTTGGACCCAAACTTGAAAAAGGTAACACGGATCGGAAGATTTGAAGGTCTGAACCTATTCAGATTCTACTGAGTCTTGCTGTCCGAGCCTCAAGCCCAGGATTGACCACCCAAGCATCCACCTGATGCCATAGGCGAGCGCCCAGAAGGGGGCCTTGTCAAGCCAGTGCAATGGGTTTGTCTCGAACATATGGGCGCCCTCGGGCGTGTCTACACACCTTCCCTAGGCCTCCAAATACCTTCTGAAAAGGTGTTTGGGGTGGGTTTGGAGGGTCCAAATACCTTCCCAGCAGGTACTTGGAGGTGTAGGGCTACTAAAACTTGACCTATTAAAACTGAGACTGAGTCTCAGCACAACAAACATATGCAGTATACTTCTGAAAGGTTGCCAGTGTGTCTGGAAACATTCAAGTTTGGAACCCTATCACTTTCTTGTTTCAGCAAGTGTCACTAGAGGTGCTAGTCCAACAACAAAGTGTTGTCAGGCATTGGGGAAACATTGGAGCTCTCTCATCAGTAAGCTATTTCCTATGTTCAAGCTATTGTCCAACACCTTTTTTCGGTAATAAATGTCCGTCACTTTTTTGTGGTAGTGTAAAATGTGTGTGGTCAACAACAGGACTTCAACATATTCGGATCTATATTGATAAATCCAAATTGTAGAAATCGTGAGGTTTCTCTCTTTAACACGAGGTTCTTGAGCGTTCCAACGGCTGAGGTCATTGAGAGGAGTGCGTCGTCTTTTCTGGGATACCCTATCGTTTTCCAAGGGTTTTGATGCCCTCCTACCTCTTAGTCACTTTGCACTACTACCCATCTAGTTCTGCTTGTGAGCGTATTTCTAAGATGCGTTGTTGAGCTGATCAAATCCAGCTGAAAAAACACAAACGATCGTTGTATAACTGGCCTTGTCAAGCCACTTCTCCTGACCTCTTGTTAAATGCACACATCATGGCTCCATTGCATACATCATCATCCAAAATATCCAACATGGCGTCTGCGATTCTACGTGGTCAAATGCCATCTGGTGCCAAAAAGTGAGTGCCGAAGATGGAGCCTGCTGGTTTTTGGGGGTCTCTTTTCACCAGCAGGCGCAAGCGCCGACATTCTGAAGGCAGTTCGACGAGAGTACCAGGTCGGAGGCATTTGCTGCCAGGTCTGCGACCAACTTTGTGGCCAGGATATTGGGATCGGCCATGGTCAAAACTAAATGACCGGTGGCCAGGCCTTGCTGGCAAAGTTTGGGCACAAACTATATAGAAACAACACCGCACGGGCATGTGCTTGCAGAAAGAATGTTGCCCGAGTTCTAGCGGCGCACTGATCGCAGGGAGCGATCTTTCTTGCATACCAAACAAAACTCCCCCGGACCTGTCCGGAACGTGGGGGGACCCCTGCGCCTGCCCAGGAGAAGACGGAGCGTGGGGCCCAAACTGCCCCAACCGCTGCTGAAGAAGGAAGCTGCCTCGGTGAAGAAGGAGGCTGCGCATTCAGTACATTTTTGCCAAGGCGGAACATGGAGCCCGATAATGAGTATCCATCTATTCAGGTTGTTGGGTCCATATTGGATAAATAATGCATGATCATAACCATATTGGTCTGTGAGAGAACCTCAACTTGTGGAAGTCTTTCAGCTACCAGCCACAAACACCCCCTTTTCCACTCCTTCAGCATTTGTAGGCGCTGCAAAGGATATCCTGGAACTCTTGCCATGCCAAAAGCCGGACTAAACTTTCTTTTCCTAACTTCAGTTGCAAGTAAATGAATTAATCTTTTTAGATACCAACCAAATCGCTCCATTTCTGATACGTCAAGTAAGATTTTACGATCTCTTAGAAGGGTGAATCAAACCCAAACCTCTTGGATTTGATATCATCTAGTCTTCACCAGGTGGACACCAGCGGTTTAAGCCTCCGCCCGCTCGCACCGCTCGCACCGACGGCGCACCACATCGATGACGGCTGCCAAGCCCAGCAGGGCACCCGCGGCCGTGAGCCCCACGGAGAGCTCCGTGGACACCTTAGTGGATCGGCTCCCGACTTCTTCAGACTCCAGGGCTACGGGCAAATACCCTATAATGATATATATAGGCTGCGGGGTATGGTATACCCTATGCAAATGTACACATTGAGCCCCGAAAGCACTACTACGACGTTCTTCGTAGGAAAATATGGGCTGTGGCTGCGATCCAAGATCGGATTCTGACTAGAGCGACTGGTCGAGAAAAGTATCCAAGTGCACGGCATCTTGTGGACCAGGACTCCTAGACCCAGTGAAAGAATCACACGGGAAGCACCTGAGTTATGTTAGTTATGGCATTATTTCACAAAGGCAAGAGGCAGCAATGAGCAGGAAAATGATCAAGAGGGGCGTGCAGCAAAGCAGCACTTGACCTGAGGACGCTGCAATCAAAGTACAACGGCTTCCAAACCCTTAATGAATCAAAATGTAAGTGTAGTCCATGAACTTCTGCCATTAAGCAAACATATGTGCAATTGAGCTTGGTTGCGTAAACAACTAACTTGCAGGCTCATGACTGTCCTGAGTTTTATCAAGAATCCAACGTTTTGAGTTTCGACATGTCTCTCCATCAACATGTCTTGCCGAGTGGCAAACTTCGTCACAGATGGCGTCGCGCACGGGCTGCAAGCCCATCTCATGCACATAAAAGAAGTTGCAAAGCTCACACTGGATCTCCCCAACGTTTGCTGCCGTCAAGGCGCACTGCCTGTTTTGCCGAACTCGGAGTTCAAGGGAGCCATTTGGGGACAGGCCCATAGGACCAATGGGTGAAGGCGTCTGTGTCCACACCACGTGATGATCCCTTTTATGGCCTGCTTGTTGGGAAGACAAATGCAACATCTGCAAACAGGACAGTAACGAACCTTTCGAAGGACACGAGCCTGTCGAAAAATGTCGAAAGAGTCGACGGCGCGGACATGGAACCAACATGCCGCCATGCTGTTGCAGCCAAGGCTGACCAATGAAGCATGACACGATTTTGCGATCATCATATTGAGATCATCAAGGGATCATTGCGATCCAAAATGAAGCATGTGCTTGCGGAACTTGCCATAGCCCCTGTCACTGTAGGTTCTGCTCCCTGGTGCCCTCGATCACCCTAGAACATCGTTGAACATCCCTAACATACTCCGAGCCGCCGTTGCCACTGCTTCAAACAGCCGCGGTGGATCCATCGCACGGATCCGCTGCACAAGCATGGCTCCAGGAGAAGCGACTCGAGCGACGGCGCCTCACCACCTCAGTCGACGTGACGGAACGCGTTCCGTCACGGCGACGGAGACCGTGTGACCGTGAGCTGCTCGTCTTGTTTCGGGTGAGATGAGGTATTGGACTCACCCCACAAGAAAATGAATATGCAAAGACAAAGACATGACATGACATGAATGTAAAGATACGTCAAGTAAAGGCTGGGTCATATGATGTGTGCATGTTGGGGGATCAGCTTGAAAACCTAGAGAGGACATCAGTGAAATCAGGGCCAATTGCGCATCAATTGCATTGAGACCGGATTTTTTAAATACCCTTTGAACACAACTGGACTTGCCGAGAGCAACCAGTAAGAACGACCATGTCCCCTCTTTCACAGGAAAATGTTCTCTTCTTGGGGGTCGTCCTGGAATGCCCTCAACCAGTGCAGTTGAAAATCCGTGGCAAATACGGCAGCACTTCTCCATGGCAAAATCGCCGAGAAGACTCCGAGCACAAGGCAACTGAATTAGTTTCCATCTGTCTAACCTGATCAGGAAGATATGTGACGCACCCCTAGCGCCTTAAAGTGACAGTGCCAGTTTGCCATATTGGCCTGCATGGCCATATATAAGTGTTGAGTCGGGGCAACCTGCCAGTCTCCGCAGGTTGCCTGCTATAGATCCTGCACGTTTGTTGTGTTGTGTGTTGTTCCCCAACGCTCATCTTCTTTCGGTTGGAACCATTTGTGTCTCGGAACCGGGATTGCTGATGCTGATGCCAACTGCCAACGCAGAAATTCAGTTAGAACAAGCTTGACGTCAGCTAAGCCCTGACTGAAACCATCAGTTGATGTTCCCTTATGTTCCCTTGTGGCTGTGTTCAAAGCATACTAACTGCTTGCCTTCACAAAGACCTTGAGCCAGTAGTGCGGCCTGAGGCCATCTAGCTTGCAGCTTTGCTCTCGCATTGTCTCCTCAATCAGCAAAGCCTGCAATTTCATTATATATATATATAACTATATATTATATATAGATGAATGTGTGTGTCTTGGTTCAACAAGAATTCAGCAATAGAAAAACACTGGGATCAACCCAACAGTTTTCCTGTCATTTCATTTCTGATCAAGGCATTGGTCCTTTTGCACTCCATTTTGGCCACGCTGCCGGTCACCTGGCCGACCAACTTGTGCATGCTGGAGGTGACCCTGACTGAGTGTGAATATCAGCGTCGTTCTAGGATGTTCTAGGTATACACAGTGCATCACAGAACTGCCCCTAACCAGTCGTCGTCGTCGCTGAAATCAGAACTTTTAGCTGGTACAGTGCATATATATCCGGTCTTTCTCTGGATCTCGGCCTTGACTTCAATTTCTGGCTGAGCTTTTGAGCAAAGTCCTCCGTGCCGTTGAAGCTGGAGAGATTGTGTCCTCACCGCATCTCACCGCGGTGGAGCGGTCGCCGTCGGCCACTCAAAGGGTCCATGTCTCCAGTAAAACCTGGTTCAGGATCTGAGCTCGTTGAGAAAGGTGTTGATTTGTTATTTTGTTGATTAGTATAGTGGGTGTTGATCCAGTAAAACCTAGTCCGTCCTTGAGTATAGTGTTGATTGGTATAGTCTGATGGGTATGATATACTCCGAGGTCCGTTCCTGACCTGGGATTGACTTGACCGACCTTCGAGAAGTGGGGAGAAGTGGCGGCCACCGAACACCACTGGCGCACGTTCCATACGCCCAATGCAAGATGTACACTCTGATTCACTAACATATGGAAGTGGAAAATAGGATCCGAAGACGACTGACTAGACTGACTAGACTGTCCTCTACAAACAGGTGGTGTTCCACTTCCATGTTAGTGAGTTCAAGTGTAAAACAATTACCCCCTGGAAGCCCTGAAAACCGGTGCCGTCGGATCCACCGTCGGATCAACCGTCGACCACTGGTGGATCCATACCGCCCCGGGGACGTAGCGGCTCGTTTTCGGGAGTATCAGATTGGACGCTGTAGCACTACAACTGAAGTGCCTCAATGCGCAGGAACATATGCCATAAGAGGCCGAAAAAATGACAATGATGTCGGTGAGAAATCAGGGTCCTCCAACTTCCAAATTGGACATAGCAGCTCTCATGTTGGTTTGAGGGAGCACATGTTGTTTCGCTGTCTGCCGTCCAGGAATTCTTGTTACGACTGTGTTTTTTCCGGGCAACAGCGCACTTCATATTCCGACTACTTGTGTTTGATTCGAGATTTTGTGGTAGATTTCTCAACTTGCATTTTCGTGCAAAGGTCCGCTTCAACTTTCGGTGGAATGGATGGTCAAAGGCGGTAGCGTCCCAAATCCCAAAACCCTTGCTTATCTGGTTTGTATGTGGTGTGGTCAGCCAGGGTTGCCTTTTTGATCCACACCACAAATTCTACTTGGGGAGTTGTGGAGGTGAAAAAAGCGGACGCCTTCGCTTTTAAGCCTGGGTCCTGTACATCTGGCCATCAGCTCCAAAGATGCCTTCGCTTCAGCAGAAGCCTTCTGCTTGCAGGGAGGTCGTAGGACCTGTTGAGTCGCCAACAGTAGTGAGCGAGCGATCTCTGCCTGTCGGTCAGTGAGAAACCCGACGGCTTCCAGTGGAGGAGCGGCGGGTCTCACAGGACCAACTGTTCAATGTATTCCTTTCTACTTCCTCATGACTTCAACAGGTGCCAAGGCGCAAGAAAAAGAGCAATCCGGACCTTTAGGTATCACCCTATCTCAGGCTTTTCGGAAGAATTATATATATGTAAATATCATGGTAGTAGTGAAGTGTTCTTTTGCATTACCAAACCCTCTCGTTGATTCAGACGCCTCAGAGATGTCAGCCTTGTACTTCTCCCCAGGCCGGTCATCGCAAAGGAGTTCTTCCATGATGTCCTCGGCAAGGCTACTTACTATATTTGCCAGAAGGCAACTCTTTACACACACGCACCCATATATATATATATACCACTAATATCAACTGATTATGTATACACCTATTGTATACAGCAACAAGCAACTAACAAAAACACTGACCTCTTTTGACAACAGCTAGTACACAACACGGGTGGCGTTCATGTTCTCTTCTACCCCGTTCTAAGCCCCTGTTCATCATCTCTTCTTGCCCGGTCTCCCACCGCTGCACCGCCGTGGCGTGCCACAGTGGGCCACGGCCCGCGCGGTCGGCCCCGCCGGTGACGGCCGCGAGGCGCTGGAAGGTAGGCAGGTCTTCAGCAGTTGAAAGGGCAGGTCTGCAGCAGTCGCTCGGACGGGCAGTTTTAGAGGTTGCGGTTGGGGGATGGCTTGGGGAATTCTTCCACCTAAAGCAAACAAGGAAAGGATTCAAAGGATAGGGAAAGGTGAAAGTCTGATGTAAATGGCCAGTTGAGGGAGTGGTCCAACCGATCTACAAGACCTGGCAAAATGATGAAAAGGCAACCGAAACCAGGCTCAGATACACCGCACTTGTCTCAAATTGATAGAACATATAGCATTCATGATCGTTCCTACATGTTCCTACGAATCTGGAGGGGCAGGGCTTGGACATGTATGTCGGTGCAGAATCACTTACAGTAGGTTGACAAGGGGACCCTGCTAGAAGAGCGGAAGAAGATTTTTGGGGTCAGGCACGTCGTTCTGTGAGGGGATATACCTCAGAAATCCTCAGAATGAATCGCTCATATTCCCTCATAATGGTTCCTCCGTGCCTGCCCATGTGGTCCACCTCCTGCACCATCTCTAGAGCGTTGCTTTGCATCTGTGCGAGCACCCAGCTCACAGCCTCACTGGCATTCACTCGCCGCTGCAGCGCGCCGGTGTTGTTGCCCTGCAGGCAGCCCAGTCAGTCATGAGAATCGGCCTAGAAAAAACAAACCAAAAACACCTAAGAGCTTCCGGAAGGCTTCGGTGTCACCATGGACTCACGGCCCGGGGCCCGATGAGTCGGGTCCCCCTCCGTCCTCACGGCTCTGAGGCTTCCCTAAGGCCGCGTGGTGCAGCACCGTCCGCCCCAGGGCGTCGCGACAAAAGAGGCCCCCAGCGCCCTGACTGCGCAACGCGGCGCGTGCCAGTTGCAGGTCCTTGGGGATGAAGACAACCAAAAGTGACGTGGGAGGGTTTCGTTTGAAGCGAGCCAACGGTCCAGAACTGTGGAGTAAAGCAGTACAACCTATATATACAGTTATATAATATATAATACATGTCTCCTGGTTGGTGGTTTCAACATGTTTCAACTCACTTGAACAAATGTGAGTCAGGGAACTCAATCATCGCCAAAGGTTCAACATGAACACACACATATATGTATACAATTGTATACATACATATCTGAAACCACCACCCATCACCAGTCTTGTGTTGACCGTCAAACCCACCCGTCCTTGCGCCCCAGCGCGGCATGGAGCAAGGTCCGCTGATCAGAGAAACGCAAACAGCCCAGGTCTCGTAGCACTTGAGGTGGCACATCAGGACTTTCCTCATGCCCCGTCAACAACCTGCAGCTTGGGACTCGACTTCAGTTCTGGTGAACAACATGGAGAGAAGCATTCCCCACTCAGCACCAGTCAGTGTACAAAAGCAGGGACCCAAGCCTCCATGTTTGCCACAACATGTTTTGGGAGCGAGAATGAAAAGCCAAACGTGCCCCATGCGGGGACAAAGCAACTGCCAGAAGGTCCAAAGGCCAAGTGTGTGCCATCGTGTCGTCTGTAGAATCTGCAGATGTCTTAACATCCCTGCGACCCTCCTCGAGTATTTCACCCAGAGTCACCGAAGAGCTTGAACCGTCTGCAAGCACCTTTTGAAAGACTGCAGCTGATCGATTGAATCTTCACCGAAACTCCAGACCCCAACTACCTCCAGATATGTGAATAAATATACAGCGGCGCTTGCTTTCCAAAGCCACTGCTTCCTCAACTCAGAGGTGGCCAAGGCAAGCAATGCATCTGATGCAGTGCATGGACGCACAACGCCTAAGCTACAACATTGGCATGCGGAATATGGCACTGTGGGTGTGGCTTTGCAAAAAAGCGAGAGCCGCTGGCACTTGTTTTCCGGAAGTAGATCTCCAATTGCAGTAATCGGTCGTTGTTTCCAAATCCTTTTTCACTTACCGCACGGCCTTGCGTGAACTTGCCAGATTCCAACACGAGATCGGGCGCAGGGTCCGCTTTGCTTTCTGTTGGGTCCGCCCAAGGGCCCAAACCCCAACAGAAACGGTCCAAGCCACCTGTGCTGCGAACACATATGCCACAAGCATAAGGCATGTGATGATACACAAGCCTGGAAAAAATGGATCTTGACAAGACCTGATACTGAGATAAGGGCGTATTGTAAAGCACACTCCTCCTATAGGGATTGCTTGGTTCTCTTGCTTGAGCTTTCTGCAGCCCAGTCACAGTCATGGGGTGAGTGAACCGCCAGCAAGAACATGCCCTAGGAAAGAGCGCTGCCGAGAAAGACACTTCAGAAATCCGGACGATGCTAAGCGATTCTCTTAAGATGGGTCATCGTCCAAGGAATGGGTTGATCGAGCGGATGGTTCTTCCCACAGATCAGCAAGTTCTTCATCTCGTCTCTGTCTTCTGTTTTCTCTGTTTCTGATATGTCTGATATATATAGATGCTTTGGATTTGGGGTGCCCAAATCATGGGCCAAAGTACTGTCCAAGTAACAAGACCTAGTTTAATTCCAGAAGCCCTATGCCCTCGCACAATCATCAACCCCTTGCCTCTTTTGGAAGCAAATACAGGTCCAACATTTGCATAGAATGAATAACCCGAATCCAAAGAGAGTGATGACTCACATTGCTGCTTCAAGACGTCAGGTCTTTCCACGCCGGGCGTCCCCATTCCTCTCCGGGCATCCGACCCCAAAAAAGGGACGAGTCATGGTCCTTGTGAGCTCTTGTGGTCCTTGTTTCGCCGGGGGCCGGGGCTCGGGCGAGAAGATTCAGAGCTCCCACTTCATGACCGCTGTCATGCTTCCTGGGCCGGCAGCGGCACCAGTCTGGCCTGAGAGTGGCTTGCAAAGGCTCTAAAGGATTCCCCGGCAAGCTGAAACCCATGTGGTTCAGGGATTCCCCGTGCCTTACGTGCAATTGCCGGTTAAAGTTAAAGCTTAAGGCACGTTTCCATGCTCAAACTTTCTTGCACACGGATGTGCCCTCCAACTACTGAGCATGAACAAATGTCAAACATGGTGAAAGGATCTCATTTTTTGGGTCTTGTCCTCTTGCCAAACATCCCACCAGGACCTCCCAGATCCGAGCCACTGCGCGCCCAGCGCGGCGGCCGGTGCCCCAAAGGCCCGGGCCAGGCGCCGTGCGGCGCCCGGCGCGACGGGCCAGGCGTTCGCCACGGCTGTGGCGAATCGGGTCTCGGAGAGCACGGCGCCGGTGAGGCGCAAGGCGCCTCGAAAGGTGGAAGACTGAAGTCATGAGAAAAAGAGAGTCTGAGATGATCCATCCTGTTCATAACTTTGGCCTTTGAGAAGATCTAAGAAGGACGCCGGTGGAACGGATACGCAGGAAATGTGTCGACATGCACAAGCTAATCAATCGTGGGTACTGCGGTTTGTGGGGTGGTGAGGTTCGCGGTTCCTTTTCACTGAAGTAAACATGCCGGGCGTGAAATGCAGAACCTTTCTGAGAATTCTGAGGGTGTTTTCCTGCAACGGGGAAAAAAGAACCGCCTTGCCTAGATGTACCAGCTCTTCTTTGGCCGCCTCCTGCAAGCGATTCGCCTCTGTCAAGGTGAGAGGCCAGGTGGGCACCAGCGGTTTCGGAGGCCGCGGCACCCGGATGTAGATGTGGCATGGCACATCCGGTGACCAGCTGATGTTGAGATGCAAGCGCCGAAGAAGCACTAGGCCCCCCGCGGGGACTGCTTGGGGCTTCCCATCGGCATCCTGAGACTGGCTTCAGCAGGGCTGAGGGCATGCTTGATTCCTCTACAAACTAACGAGGGGTGGGGTCAGGTTCGTGAATGCACTGAATCAATCTGAATCAGTTGTACACAGAAAGGCTATACACAGGACACTGGCCGGAATTGGCAAGATCGTCCTCCGTGTGGTTCTTCACACGCGTCACGCCACCCATCGGCTGAAACTTTTCGTGTCAGGTGTGTCAGTGGTGCAATCAGGTATGAAATTAGCCAAGCCCAGGAAATCAGCCGGACTCTGCAGCAATCTGCAGGAGGCGCAGCTATTGGACCCCAGCCCGGACCCAAGTCGTCCAAGCGTCAGGCTCTTGAACTTTGGCGCCTTGTAATGGCAAAGGATCCAAGCTCCTCAGTGGTGCACCTCCTACCTCCGTGGCCCGGCTGGCAAACGCCGACCGAGCGTTGTAGAGCGGCGCCGCCGGTCAAATACATGTCCATTTGGAGCACACGTCTGAACGGAACCGGAGTCCACCGGTGGGTGAGTCATGTCCGGCTCATGCATCGATCTCCTTTTGCGCTTTTGCTACTCGTTTTGTCACAAAACACTTGGGAGAGTGCCCAAGAAAGGCCAGGGATGAAGACTGAGCCCGGAGTGTCCACGCTAGGCTGCTAGGAATGAACAAACCAAACACAGGAACCGCGAGGTGGTGTGGTATCTGCGGAAACCCAACATCCAAGGGGTGAACAAATGGATAGGACAGGCCCGTCCATGGATCTTCTGCATCTTCAAAGGGATTGTCGACATGCCAAGTCTCCAAACAACAGCACCAGGTGTAAGCTCTGCCTCCAGTTTGTTGGTGACGGCCGCCTCAGAAAGGGCCCTGGCTGGTGCAACAAATTGGCGTCGGCTCACCAACTGGGAACTCGAGACAGGAGTGTCGAAAGCAACACGTTGAACGCATCAAGGCGCATCAAGTCGCAACAAAGTCTGCAAACTATATAAACTTGAGATGGCTCCTCGGGAGTCCAACTTCGTGGTGATTGAGTTTGGGGACACGCACTGCCTCCATGCGATGAAACATCGACATCATGCTTTTACCCTTCACTGCACCCACATCGTCGTGCGACAGACCAAACATGTCATGCTCATTTAGATTCTCAAGATGCTTATTAATGATTAAACTATATAAGTCCTCTATGATTGCAACCTTAATATCCTTGCTTGTGTTCTTATTCATTTGCCCAGCAACGACCTCACGCTCATCGATCCTCTCGAGGATGGCCAAGGTCACCTCCGACAAATTGGCGGTACTCCAGGCGCCCTGCTGCAGCTGCACCTTGCGGTGGACATTTACTAGACCAAATCAACTCACAACAGCTGGTCAGGCTGGTATTGGAAGGCACACCCGGTCCACTTCACTGGGCTGGGAGTGGCCCGTGGCCCCAGTCAGCCGGTGCTGCATCGAAGCCGGGTCCGACGCATGAGGGACGCGGCGCCCTTCCGAGCAAGTCGTGTGCGCTCTTCATGGGAAGCCGATCCTGAACTCCGTTCGCCCAAACCACAACGAAACAGTTGGTCTGTGGCCAAGCCCCGAATCAAACCATCACTTGGTCACAAACACAACAAACACACTGGCTCTGCACGGCAGTGGAGCACCGGCCGATGTGAAGGGAGGATGCCCGATGACCTCGAACCCCTTCACATCGCTCCAAAACCAAATAACCTGTTGAACATACCTCATCCCCGGAATTTTGACATCTCCATGATGGTCCATGACCCAAGTGACTGGTACATGGACTCATCTGGACGCATCGGGGGGGGGGGTGTTGCTTGGTACGGAACAAGAGTTGCGGCCCACACACACCCAACATAGTATCAAAGGGCCCACAAACCCACCCATGTGAGCTCCTCGAGGTTGACACAGGAGCAAGGCGATCAACTGCATTCCCCGTACAACATGCGCCTCCAGGTTGTGCCAGCGCAGGAAGGAAGAGTCAGTCCTGCACGAAGAATAGTTTGGTGCCCCAGAACATCGTGGGCGCCGTCTCACAGCATGTCCCAGGATTGGGATCAACAGCAACACTGGCCCCTTACCCTTGAAACAACACCGATGTGATCAATCCCGTGTGATGCACATAGGTGTGCCCACTAGCCTGTTCATTTCTCTTTGCCGCAATGCCTCATTTTGTCGGATCGGGTCATGTCTATCCGAGTCCTGTTGTAGCAAGACCTGGTGCAATTGGCAGCCATATAGCTGGGGCTTTTGGCACATTCGCCTGGTCTCCGAGAGATTTCGCCGGCCAAGATTTGCTGTTTGGCGAGCGACAGGAACGTCATGTTCTGCCCGGAACGACGTATGCTGTATAATATTGACACCTGCCTATAATTGCAAGAACGTGCATGCCAAGCGAACTGTCTGATGGCTGCGCTCTGCAAGTCTAGTGTTGGTCTTTAATGGTTATATATAAGTTATATAGTTTGCTCGAGATGGAATGGATCAATGATTGTGATATATTGTGAATTATTGTGATATGAATTAAGCTGGCTTTCTGCCCATGCCCCATCCCATTCGAAAGTAACTCGGAGTCTCGTCTGTTCCTTCGGCATCTTGTGTGACACGGATCCCGCCTTTGGCAGCCCGATCAGCGCAGCCTTGCTCGAGATCGACCTTGAGTCACGGACGGGAAGGAGCGACCAGTATGCCACAGTGAATACTGCACAGCAATGTACAGCACATGGTCATCCATAATCATCCATAGAATTTTCCCCATTGGGAGGCTTGCGCTACAGATCGTTGGATCTAAAGCCATATGGATCTAGAGAGTGGGTTAGTGTATGATACAAACCACCAACAATGAAGTCTTACTGTATGTAGCCTGCACATCGGTTTTGCAGTGTATCTCATTTCGATGACAACAGAGTTAGCTGTTAGCATAGTACCCTCGGGCCCAGCTCAACTTCCCGGGATCTTCAGCTATACTAGTAACAAGTGCCTTACTAGTGGTAACAAGAAGCTACTAGTAACAAGTGCATCGCTACTAGTAACAAGGGCCTTACTACTAGGAGCAAGAAGCAACTAGTAACAAGAATATTATAATTCTATAATAGCTTCTATTTCTTGTTTCTAATAGCTTCTAATAGCTTCTTGTTCCTACAGGTTCAAACGAACGCAGAACCCTCATCGTTCCGGCGCACCACGTAGCGTGCACCGAAGACCCGGTTAGCATGCTGTCATGCGGCCAAGTCATCGCCAAAGTTGTTGAGGTGGTCCCTAGGTCATTGAAACTCATGACCCGCGGAGGCAGAATTTTGCCAAGGAACATAGACTGTATTGCTTTGGGGCGTCCCCACGTCTGACTTTGTGCAACTATCAAAACACAATAGGGGACTCCCCCTTCTTAAACCCGTTTGTGCAAGGATCAAACATTCATTCAATGAATCTTGCGAACTCCCTCAGCCAAATCATAAATAACATGTTGCGAAGTGCCCCGCACCAGTGATCCAAGCTAGTGATTATTAAAGCGCCCCAGATGAGGAGGTTTTACAATCCAAGTGAGGGCGCCGTTTTCAATTAATAGTCCACAAGAAAAAAACTTCTGGTGCAACAGCTCAGCTCACGTGGTGGTTTATCCAGGGACCCATGTGCCCGAACATCACCTTTACAAGTGTTGCGGTGTGTGTCCAAGTTCCGGGTCACAGTGTAGCTCTCCTAAAATGACACAGTCTTTCCAAATAGATTGTCAACGGCAGATCCCAGAAGACTCAGATCATGCAAAATAACTCCAGACTCAAAGAAAAGATCTTATAGTATACAGTATACAAAACAAATAAGAAACACATTTCAATCTACAGTATAGATAATTATAGTATGCAGTATACAAAACAAATAAGAAACACATTTCAATCTACAGTATAGATAATTAATGATAATTACAAGCAGTTGTGTTTTTTGTTTGTGTTTTTCTGTTTTTCTCTGCAATTTTGCTTGAGTGTCAGTCAACTTGATTTTGTTTTGTTTTAGTTTTTTGGTAAGCTTTTTGGTCGTTCTTGTTTTTTGTTGCTTGCTTTGTTTTTTACATATCAATGATTGTGTACATGCCTGACGCGGATGGACCTGAAAGTCGGCGCGGATGGTCCCCATGAAACGAGTGTGCACCAAAAAAGAAGGTAGTTTGGTTCCCCAATCCCGCACTCCATTCCAAAGAGTGTAAGCCACGAGTTTGCTTCGAGTCGTGCGTTTTAGGCCGTGCCTGAGCCGTCGAAGAGCCAACATCCCTCGAGCGCAGGGCTCTGGATCCTTCTCCCAGGCGATGATGCGTGGTGCAAGGCCCAGCAAGGCAGTGAACAACGGAAGGCGCCCTGCGCCGCTGCCTGACAGGTGGCGCCTTTTGAGCAGTTGAGACATGTCCACCTCATTCACCAAACAGCTTAGACCGCGTTCCGAAGTACAGTTGAGAGCAGAAATCAAACGATGTCATCCAAGCACTTGGCAACAGTTTGGGCAACAGCTCCAATTTATCGTGTGGACGTTGCTGCAAACTGACAGCTGCTACAGGAAGATGAAATAATGACAAATTCGCTACCCTGCAGGGAAGCCTCACTAAGCCACCTTGGATGCAACGCATCACGAGCCCAAGATGTCACAAACATCTACTGTTTTTTTGGATGCGCAAAAAATCCGCAAGTGTGAACCTTCCCCAGGTAGTTCTCAAAGGTTCCAAACTTAAACAACATGTATTTTGACCATGTTCCTTCCATGCCGACCTCGTGGTTGGCAAGGTCCGCTGCCTGGAATTGAGCGAACTCCACCCAGCCCAGCACCGCCCAGCCCAGCCTAGGATGCCAACCTGGTCCCCTTTGGCCAGTGGCACCTCCGCGAGGGCTGCACCTGCAATTCACTAACGATGCCACTGCTTGGGGTGAAGATGGGTGAAGTGTGGTGATCAAACATCTAAAATCGTCGAAGCATCAGGCCATCCATGGCCATCCAGTTGACCATTTCAGCAACACTCTGGAGCACCTGTTTGCAGCAAGCTCTCGAAGACCCCTCTCATCGGTGCTGGTGGTGCGCTCGGGAGGCGACTGAGGTTGGCATCCGCAGCGGCCTGAGGTGGCGATCGGAGTCCGGACCCGAACCTGGATCAAACCCTGGACCAAACTTGAGGGTCCGGATTGGTCCGGGTGGTTCATCAAGTGTCATTCCGGAAGCTTTGGTATGGAACACCTGACGTGTTGTTCATGCTCTTGGGGGAAAACGTAGTAGCACCCCAGTCTGTGTTCTATATATAGCACAAACCCGTTTATAAATATGTCCTTGCACAAACTCCAGTAGGTGTTGGATCATCTACGGGCGAAGACCGGGGCCAATTCTCAATTCTTGGTGTCCTGAAGGCACCATCTCAACGGTTTGAGACCAGAATGGAAAGCTTGGACTGTTTGGACTTGTGTTCTTGCCAGTGAGGTGTGGAACCTGTTGAACACCTTTGCAACAAGAGGTAGTATTTGCTTGAAGGACGGAGATGCAGTAACTACTGATAGAATCTTTTTGAGACAAACCGCGGCTGCAAGAAAAGCATTTCTATCACACGACTCGATGATCCTTTAGTGAGCACCTGCCCATGACAATGCATTGACATCTGACAGAATCACACAAAATCCTGAATCAGCGGGAGCCAGGTCAGTCCTTATATATATATAGAGAGAGAGAGAGTCTCTTTCCAGCAGATTGGGGATCTGGACAATGAGGAATGTCTACCCCCCTGAAAGGGAACATAGGCCCTGAAAACGAACCCTGGAACAGAATCGAATCACCCTCTGTAAACCGCTCGTTGGCGCAGTTCATGAGTCCGTGCGGTCGTCTGCAGGATGGTGCAATGGGTCTTGCCAACAACTAAGTTTGGTATTGGCTGTTGTCCTACCGGCCTGCACCATTCGACTGAGATCGGGAAGTGCCCCAGGAACACTGAGGTGACCTTCAGTATGCTCACGGCAACCACCATGTGTTGCTCTCTCACCAGTCTTGGTTCACTCTTACAAAGATCCAGTTTGAGTTTGAGGACATGTCGTTCGTAGGGCGCTCACCCCATGGCAGCCTATCGGACCTGAAGCTCACACAGCCAAGCATGAACGTGCAACCCTTTTCAGCACAGAACCCGGAAACGTCGAAAGTGGGTCTCGGTCGCTCAAACCATCCTCCAATGCCCGGCTTTGCGGGAACGATGTCAATCCTCTTCAGATCCTTTCTCCGTTCACCTCTGTGTGTTCTTCGCACACAAGACCGTCGCGTGGGCCGGCAACAATGGTACTCACACTACAAGTCGTTGCCACATGTTGCTACAAGGCGTGTCATCTCGCGATTCGCGCATTTCGTCATTCACGAATCTTTGCGAATCGCCCTTGTCGAATCCATCTGGACAGAAGGTTCCACAAGGGCCCGTAGCGGAGTTGTCTCAGCGTGTGACTTCCCAACAAGGAAGTTGCTGGGGGTCTGAGCACCTGAAAGTTTGGATTGCAGCCTCCTGGATTGAAATCTTGGGCAGTTTACCTGGTTTACCTGCCAACTCTGCAGAAACAAGCAAACAAATTCCACCACAGGCTCAATGCTTGAGCACCCAACCGGAGCTGAAAGTCGCTTTAGGTTCAGAATAGTTCTCCACTTTCCACCTAATTCACCGGATGAAAAATGGGTCCACAAAACACCAGCAAATGGAAACACAGATTCCCAAGGGGTCACCAATAGACTTCCCACATCATCCAGTGTCGATCGGTTGGACGCTCTTTTTGACCTGTGCTGGGTCCCTCCACCCTTCCGCCTGTCCTCCCGGACGTCGCCTGCTGCTCGCTGGGGGCGAAGAGCCTCTGAAGCACGCACTCGGGCTCTGCCTGGCCACCTGAGTGGTTCCAAGAGGTTCCAATAGCCATGATTCGGGACAACATATCAGGAAACCATAGGAAACCCAACCCATGATCTGCACATATCACTTCTCTCCCTCTCAGAGCCTCTCTGCATCGCCTTTGGTGAGGCAGTATACTTACTGACCAGCGTTTTACCAGCGAAAGAACTCTGTATGGAAGGTCTCTATTTGGAGGATCTTCCCATGGTTTTCCTCTTGAGGGAATTACACTGATCTGATAATTACGGGAATCTTCTGTGAGCATGGCTTAGCTGCAGCCGTAGGTCTGCCTTGTCTGTGACGGCTCATCATTTGGGGTCTGACCAAGGATGTCATACAAAGTCTTGAGAAGGATCAACTAGCACAACACGGGGATCAGAATCCTTCACTATGTCCACTTATATAATACTAGAAAGTTTGATCCGTTCAACGAAAGCGGCTGGGCAGCAAAGTTCCGATCACTTGGAAGATTTGGCTTTCACTCTTCCATACTTCCAAGCTCTTCCAAATCATTGTGATCTTTCTATTCTTCTGTGGATGGGTCACCAAGAAACATGGGAAGTTAGAGTCAGTTGTAGCAGGCACCTGTAAGTTCCAAATGAATCCAAATGTGCCGCTACTGCACTGCTTACCCTAGTGATGATCTGTTCGGACTGTTAAAGGCTTCAACTATGTCCAACTAAAACTGCAAGGGCAGCAAATCATTGGCATTCATGGGCATGGTATGGAAGCCCACTTTCAGAGAGCTGTCATCTTCGACAGGCAACACATCAACACACCAATAGAAGCCATCAATGAAGCGGCGTGACAGTCAAACATGAACACACCGACCGGAAAACGCCTTTCAAGACCGAACCGACACCATCCAGCTCCGCCGCCCCAGCGCAAGCCAAGCTACAGCCAGCTGCTTTGGCTGCAGTCTGCAGTGGCGAAGCGCTGCTTTGTGCGCCCGCTTCGGGGAAGCTGGTCAGAAGGACGAGTAGCAAGCCAACCGCCATTGGACGAAATGGCTGGTTGACTTTGTGCTGCTGCCGATCCGGGAGATGTAAACATTTGAACTTTCTTTCGCAAACTTGTGGTACAAAGTGTTAAGAGGCATCCTCAAAATGGCCACATTTTGTCAAACACCTCTTGGGTCAGAAACACAGTCGTGCCACTTTGACAAACCATAACCATGAGGGAAACAATAACATGTCTTGCAGCAAAAACATGTCTAGCAGTAGCAGTAGCAGAAGCAGTAGCAGTAGTAGTAGTAGTAGCAGTAGCAGCAGTAGTAGTAGTAGTAGGGGCCTTTTAATGGTCATGGCTATAATGGACCTCACGTGTTCACACCGTGATGGACAAACCATGGGAGTTGACTTCAGTGGTCAAACAACGGTGCAGGAAGCGCCCACAACGGTGCTGGGAGAAAGGCAGGCCTCTGCAACACCCTTTTCCAATATGTTCCACACGTCTTTGACATTGTCGTCTACTTGGGGGACCTCTAGAAGTATAGGGGGACCTCTAAAAGTATACTTCCAGATGCCAAATGTCTATAGTTTGGTGTTGCTTCCGGGCCTTGGAAAGGGGTGAACCGTACCAACATATTGGTCACATCACACATCCATCGTTGGTGGACCTTTCTGGGCTTAACGACCTTCGCCCTGCTGCGGAGCGTGAAGATGGTGCATGTGGATGGCAGCTGAAGCTTGGAGGCTGAAGAGTTTTCAGAGGGGCAAGGGACCTGCTACATGCCGCTTCAAAACAAATGTGTGGACCCAAGTTCATCTGTCATGCTTGCTCCTGAAGCCAAACACTTGCAAGCGCTTGCTGGTTTGCTGGCAACATTGGATCACAAGAAACTAAATTTAATGCCTGCACCTGCAACAGGCCCTTCAACAGGCAAACACCCAGTTTCCAAAGCCGCTTCCAGTGATCAAACAGATACGGGATCAGTGTCACTAGGAGTGGCAGTGGAAACTGGGTGTCTTGGATCCCTCCAAAAATGGGTCTTGCAAACCGCTGGTTCCCAGCTTCTCCAGCTATCTGCAGGGCAAGCATTGAAACCGGTTTGTGTTCCGTTCTTTCGCTACTAGCTTCACTCTAGTCATGGTGATGGCTGATCAAGACGTCGAAGCCCAAAAACAGTGTGATGGTTTTCTCAAAGCACCCCGTTCACGAAACCGAATCCCACTCCGAGACTCCACACTGCCAAGAGTTTGGCCTGCGCCTCCGCATGGCCTCGTAAGGCACGGATGATGGAGATGCATGGCCTACCACCACGTACGCGGGTCAGATCGTGTTTGGATGTTTGGGGTGGTTGAGGTGGGTGTCCAAATCCCAGACACTCCAAAGGATTGCCACATATGCCGCCCCATTGACCCCCATGGCACCACCCCAATTGGTCGGCATATATGGCAGTCCTATGGGTCGCGTCGGAGAGGCGGACACCGGAACTCGGGCCAGCGATTGTGAGTGGCAATTGGTTTCATCACCCTGAAAGGTGCCAAACATCTTGAGTGCAGCTGTACTTGCGGCTGTCTAAGGGATTGATTTGCACGTCAGTTTGGGCATGGAATTCTTGGGGCGACCTTCTTCTTGCAAGATCTCTACCCCCCAAAAAACACTCCCTGACGCAAAGGTTCGTGATGATTAGTGTTCCAAAGCATTGAAAAACCTGCGCGAGACCGATTCCTCCCCTCCCTACTGGGCACGCAGCTTTGATGGCTAGCCACCAAATCCTGGGGCACGCATTTTCCCGCTGTTTGAGGTCAATTTGGGAGGGTTTATATTAGCGTTGTGTTCTTGAGAGGTTGCAAATCTGCACCAAATTAGATAATACCTTATATACATACTTCATATAGAGAGCAAAAGACCATCAAACACACAAAAACAACAAGTAGGAACCATCAGTGACTACATAGTACTTTGGTCTTTTGAAATGCATGAAAAAAAGAAATTGATCAACAAACTTTATTGCCATCTAGAGAACACTATTCGCAGGGGATGAACAAATACATTATCGAACAACAATATCAACAATTCTACCCCAGGGCTGAAAGAGAGCGCAAAGGCCTAAACCCTTTCGAGGGCTTTGTGCACACAAACACCTCCCTCAGCAGCATGCAAAGCCGGCGGCTCACAGAAAAAAAGGGCCTGAATTGTTTTTGTTCCTGTCGCCAATCTTTACACAGGTCATGCCCACAGTAGGCTTTAATTGTGTTCTTCAGCCACCAAAACGTAATATGAAGGTGTTTCGCGTGAAAGCAGGTTGTGATCACAAACAGTTTTTGCATGCACAAGGAGACAATTCCTTTTGGTTTTTGCCTGGTTTTGCTTCCTGACCATGACTGCAGTCAGTTGCTCCTTTCTCCAGCCACCTAAAAAGTTGAATTCGGTTTAGGCCAGGAAATAGGAACAATAAATACCATCAGATTTGTGGCGCGGGAAGGGGGTTGGGGGGGAGGACGCAGCGCCTCCCCCCAACAGCGAGCAAAACCTAGTGCTGCAAAAAAGGTAAACGCTTTCAGGAAGTGCAAGAGAAAACAGTTTGAAGAAACCGTTTCTGGGTTAGCAAGGTCCGGTGTGTTCATGTGTGTTCTGTATGTGGGTTAGAAAAGAAGGCTCACGGGTCACCGGTTTTCAAACCGGGTTCCTGGGTTGAAACCACGTCCTTGGCCTCAAAAAGCGAAGCCCTAGGAGTAAAATGAGTAAAATAGACTGTCTTTTTTTCACCAGAATTGACCCATGGATTGCCTTGAAACATGTTAACACAATTACCATTTGCAATCCAGGGCCTAAAGGATTGCCTATTGCCCTCGTTCCTTCCTTCCTTCCTTTCTTCATTTGTTTTGTTGCTGCTGCTTTGTGCCTGAATTGAGGTGTTTCTTCCAAGTTTCCACGCAACTATATACAGCTACATTTAAACAAGGTCAAAGCTCATTGCGCTGTGCCTCCATGTGATGTACGCGTTCCACAGTTCCACTGACATTTGCAGGGACGCGCCCACACTCTGAGCTGTGCGGATATTACATGTTTACATTCTGCCTGAGACTGATTCGGCGACTGTTTAAAACTGCGCCAAGTCAACTATAGAAGAACGGGCTGTAGAGAGAACGATCGATTGACTTTGACAAATTTGATTGCAAATGCCCTCGTCCACCCTAAAGTCGCTCCCGCCTGGTAGCCCAACCTTCAGGGGCAACCCCCGGCTAGCACAACTGGGCTTACCCAGGATTTGAGGGTCGATTTCCCAGCATGCTCCGCTGCCGCTAATCAAACCAGGCCGTAAGCGCCGTAAAGACCAGCCAACACCAAAAAACACTAAACACACAATATACGCACTTGTGGGCCAGGTCAAAGACCAACAAATACAGCATTAGTTATGGCATAAGTACCAGCGTTGATGACCTGTCAGCATGGCCATAGATCTTCGACATGTTTCAAATTCACGGGGTGTGGCAGGTGTTGTAGGCTCAAAACACCGTAAATACCAGCATTGATGAGACCCTCCCATGGCAAATGCATTCACAACACGGCTGTTTAGCACTGTTGCAGCGTCAAAGGCTCAAGAAACTGTACACAATGATCCTTTTGTGTCGCGGTCCCGCGCGGAAATGCACATAGAACACCACACCCAAACCGAAAATGTATGCAGTCAGCACTGACGTCCAAAAAAACATAACATAACAAATTTGCTGGGGGACACATGCACGCGGAAATATGTGATTAAACGTGGCATGCATTTATCTCCGCCTCGTTTGCCCAAGGAAGGCTGCCCCGGTGTTCTTCCCAGCTGACGGCGCGTGATTTGCGACTAAATCGTCTGACTGACATGACATCTTGGTCCTGATTTCTATGCGAGTCATCTCCTTTGGGGTTCAGAATGCTGACGTTGATCGACAGTCTAGTTCTTATACTTGGAGGGCAAGAGTCTGCTTCATCAAAGGCTTCAGGCCGCATCGGACCAGCAGGGGGCTCCCTGGTTAGTCGGCAGCCACTGGGGAGGAGGCTTGGAGACCCTCTCGGATGAAAACGGAGGGGAAAACCTCGCAAATACCGATGTTTTCTGCTCCTGCATTGCATCCAAAGGCAGGCACAAAAAACATTGAAAATACAGGGCGCAAGGTGTTTAGCGTTTGCTAAAGCACGATGTTCAACAAAATCAAAACATAAATATTCTATTATGTTCCTTTTTACACGGTCGGAAAGGCACCCCTTCCTTCAAAATTACTTAAGATGGTCACGCGGTGCGAGCTATGCAGCACAAGTTGACTTGCATTATTTGCATATTATGTTCCTTGTTCTGCTTGTGGTCCAAGCAACAGCCACAACAACACCAACAAACAGGACCACAACCACAACGACTCTAAATGTACATGCTACAACCACCACCACAACACCACCAACAAGCAAAACAATCACCACCACTCTTGCCTGTTGGGCGCAAGCCCTTAAAATATAGAATGTATATGTATGATGCAAACCACCTATAAATTAGAACAACAGCGGCACCACAATTACGATCTAACAACGAACCAATCAATGAAATCCAATATGATCCAACATGGTATGCCCAAATTTGCCTCGCACATGTCCGCAACATCCGCAACACCGACTCGGTGCGGTGTGTGTTCTGATTCGTGTGCTCCTCCGTGTTCTCGTTCTCATCCTCCCGATGATCTGCGCAACAAAGTCGTTGCAAAGCGCCGCCTTAGCAGAGCTACTAGCAGTCTGCGTTATCTCGAAGCTAATCGGCTGGGAGGCGTGTGGGGCATGGGGGGTGCCCCCAAAGACAGGACCATGATGGACCATGTGTATCTGTGGACTGGAGCTAACTGGCGTGTTGTCTTCCTCATGTTTTGTCCTTTGAATCAACCGGTGTCCTGACGCCAACTGGAAAGGATGGCGGTGTTTCTCTTGCTCCAAACATCAATTGCTGCCAGGGCGCCCATGACCCGGTCCGCATCCGGCTGGTCCGGCGCGGGTGTCGGGAGGGGATATGGCTGGGCTGAGGGGT